TTAATGGTTTCCTTAGCCTCGGAAAGCAAGAGAGAGGATGGGATTGGTTTCCAGAAAAACACATTACTGAACTTAAAGCATAAGACTGGATTAGTGATTTCTGTATTTCCTGCATGAAAAAAAATATTTAGCGTTGACGATATTCTCGGTTCTTACAGTATCCCTGGCGCTGTGTTCTATATGCCGTACAAACTGGGTGGATAGTTCTTGTCCTATTTGCATAGTTTAATTGCATCTTCTTCCTCGCTATACATTTTCATAATTTGTTGACTTCATTTTTATAATCAAAACTCATATTTTAGCATCTTTAGTTAGAGATGAGCACACTAAGTTCAAAGTTGATGCTTGGAGCTGACCTGACAAGTTAATATGAACCGTTACAACTGTGTGTATCATCCCTACACGTGTGTGTATCACAAGAAAATGACCTTGAAGACACCTTCTAGTCTATCTTACAAGACTAGTTGCTTTTAGAGTTCCTGACACAAGCCCTAGTCCAGGTAGCTGTGAGTCAGTTTACTCATGGTACATTTAATACCACCACGATCATACTAAAAAGGGATGTATTTCTGCCTGGGTTCAAATGTGTTGATATGAAAATGTGCCACAGGATGCAGAACAAAATGTCTGTAATTTCCTTAAGACAACTGTCAAAAGGCATGATGGCTGGCATGTTTTTAAATAGTGTATTTTTCAACCATATAACTTCCGGGCTCCTACTAAAAAAAAAAAAATAAACAAGTTAGCAATTCCTCTTGAGAAATCATTTGAGATTTCTTTAAGCATCTGAGGAGAAAAAAAGATAAAATACTTGAAAGTATGGATTCAATAGCATATTTAAAACCTTCAATTTTTTAATGTGATAAAACAAAATCTAAGAAAATAAATGCTATTAGTATTATCCACCTGCACTGATGTATCTAATAATCTCTCTATAAAAATATGGTTAAGTCCAGACTGAAAGATTTTATTTTACCTAAGGATTCATGTTCCTTGGGGATCATATGGTATCAAATACATGCTACGGTTTTGTTTTCTCAAATCCACCTAAGGACCCACTCATGCCTCAAATTTTCTTGGAGATGCTCCAATCTTATTTTAGAATCTTTTCCTTAGGATCCATGTATCCAAAATTATCTCGGACCACTTAAAGCTTGCCAGTTTCTCTTGAATTAAACATAAATAAATAAACCAAAACTACAATTAACATGGAAATCAGATTTTACTGAAAAATTTAGTTAGTGAAAATCTCACTGGAGATGAGAGAGAGCATAAAATAGCTCTCAGGTTAAACCTTTATATTTCCAGAATCTTACAATGTTCAAGAAAGCCTGAGGGAGCCTATAGGGAGGTTTGCAATTAAAGTGGAGACCAACTCCACAAATGGATGAATAGCAAAACTGTAACTCTCCATACTTTCTGATAAAATGTAGATAATTTCAGTATGAAGATGAAGGCTTTGTATGTTTACATGTTAGTGAGCACAATAAAATTCCCAAACGACATCTGCTCCTTTTTCTGTGCATTTGATAAGAATAGTTTTAAACAGTACACTTGGAAATTGTTCCTTTCTAGATTTTAATTCTATCATGTAAATTTCTAGTTAAAAAAAAAGCGTGGATCATTTCTCCTAAGCTGTAATTTAATATGGTGCATTTTTTTCTCTACATAAATACACGGCTCAATTGGTATGATTATTAGGCTATTCACAAACAAGGAACTTGCTGGAAAGGGTAGTAAAGCTGCCAAGTGCCAAGATCACAAGGAAATATGGTTTAAAGTAGACAAGCAAGATTCAGAGACCTAACCAGACAAGAACTTCACATGTAGATTCAAAAGGATGGGAATCCTAAGTGATCAGTGGCTTCAAACACAGGCACAGCTTTATGACTGAAGTCCCTTAGGATGAGAAAGGCTATCAGACAGTGGGACACAGCTGAAAGGGTAACGGTGTTAAGGTGTGGGAAGAAACCAGGACAACCTCCTACAGCAGGAGATGGAGCTCTCTGAACAAGTATCATTTCCCACAGTCTTTCCTTGACCGAAGTATGGTAGCCATCATTCCAGAGAACCTGTCTTCTCTTCTTCCGTGGTTCTAAAGACCTTTGTGGATGATGCTTATATCATCCTGTGTCAAGCCTTCACGGTGGTTCAAGGTCTCCAGATGTGGCACACAGTACAAATGCACGTTCACACTTCGTCCCAAAACTATGACACAATATTGAGTCAAGCTCTCTGTCTCTCCACTCCTTCCCTACCCCTAGTCCCTTCCTCTCTGCCTCTCCCTCCCTTTCCCTCTCTCTGTAGGCAAAGCAGAGCTTTTAAACAAAGCTAGGCAATTCTCCCCACCTCCTTGACCCAGATAGCCTGAAAGAGCCTCATGAGCTCGAGAGAAGTCCACCTCTCTCCCACCCTTGTATTAGTGTGTCTATGGGATACCACACTGTAAATGTTCCTCTGTTCATCTATGAAAAGAGAGAGGGGCTATTTCACTGAGGGTGGTGGATGGGTTGACACGATAGATTACAACAGATTTATTACTATTTATCGTGGTAAGTATGTATTTAAGAGAACATCAATATCTTTAATCTAATCACCATCAGAGAAAGCTAGCCCATTCTTTTACTGTCTGTTACACAAATACTCAAGAATATGTTGAAACAAGGTTCAGAAGGATCTTGCATCAGGCGCGTCACATAATTTTATTTGAACTTAAAAAAGAATAAGGGAGACAAAGATCTAAAAATACAGAAATCTAGATCTACTGGAGCCAGAATGCTACCGTGTCTAGCACAGACTGTTTCCTGAAATCAAGTGAAAACACATACTTGATGGTGGCAAAGCATGAGATCTCCTTATCAGTAATAGAATACAACAAAGCTAATGTACACTAAGGAAATCCCAACCGCAAGGGGACTGAGATGTTCTAGAATTACCAATAAAGCAGTGACGGGGGCCGGAAATTGCTCAAATTTATCTTATTCTTTCTGCTTAAACCTTAACCGGATTTTTATCTTGTCTCTCATCTTTTGAAGAAGGGCTATACATCAGTGAATCCCTTAGGACTGCTGGCACATTTAGCCACAAAAATGTTCCCTTGGAAGCATTAAACCTAAACCAACTGTCCATCAGAAGCCGAAACTTGGATAATATAAACAAATTTCTAATTTTTAATATTCATGTGTTAGAAGAAAAAAGATTTTCTCAGCATAGTACAATGTGATATGCCACCAACAGCAATAAAAAGCTCTTGAAAATGTTTTTGTAGAGACCAGCTAACCAGAGAAAAATGTTTATATTTATACTTAAATATTTATAACGAGCTAAGAGAAGTTACTGATAATTAGTAATATCATAGCCACTTCAAATAACTGCTAAGAAACTGTGAAGATTTCTGCAAAGGTTTTTTACAGTAAAACAAAACAAGCAACAAAACACAAACAAAGACAAAAAGCCCAAAATTGATCTTCACCTGAGGCATAGATAAAATGAGGTAACTTGCATTCTCCGGGCTCTCGTGCAGATAGTGTCACTAATCACCAGTCACACTTTTAAAGTTTTTAATATTATCAGGGTTAAGTTTCGTTCAAAATGTAAACAACTTCAAGGGCCTGAAGTTGTCCTTAAAACCATTCATCTAAAATTCCATCTATATTAACTCTATCACTGACTTCAAGCTGAAAATATGCCTACAAGAGCAGACAATCTGAATGAAATATAGGAACTCAAGAAATAACAACATGGTACAGTTTTAAGTGACATATTGATATTCTAAAATGACTATTTTATGTGTCATTGGTAGTTTTATTTACACAATATTTTTCCATATTTAGGGCTAATTTTGTGGTGCTTCTTCAACATTATCAAGTCTGATAATCAGCATACAAAATTTGTGAGGTTTTTCTTTTGATACAACTTATTCTGATATATTCATTTAATAATTTTTTGGATGAGCTGAACTGAAATCAAGTCAAATACACAGGTGTGTGGGTTAATCTAGCACATTTGCAAAACCCATTATTCTTCCAATTTACCAAAATTGAAATAAAACCAATGAGTGCACTGATTGGTAATACATTTTCAGAAATCTAAATATAATTTTATCTTAAAGTGTAAAGACTTATATGGCCCATTAGTCTTTTTTTTTTAACATACTAGAAGATTACATTAAAACTGTCTTTACATGTACAACATTGGAAGGAGCTGAAAAAAACAGGGAAAAGATAGAGAAAATCATATTTTTATTTTACATAAAAATTACTAGCAATGGATCCGTTATAAACAAATTAAATACTTGGAAAAAATTACTAGCAATGGATCTGTTATAAACAAATTAAATACTTGGAAGACCTAAAATTTGCAACTACATGAACTCACATCAATGTGTCATGCATTTCCTGTGATTTATAATAACCAACGTTTCCTAGGTGAGGGCCTGGGGCACCACAGCGGCATGCCCCCTCCACAGCCCCAGGTCTTACAGACGTCCAGAATGCTTTGGTTACAGCTGGATTCTCCTATCCTTACTTTTGCAAACAGTGACCACCTTTGCAGGTCTTATTCATCAACCTCTTCAGAAAATAGAGACATTCTCCCTGCACCCTGTGCTGAAACCCATGTAATTTTTCCCTAAATCCGCTCTACAAATCTCCTTTCGCATGCAAATCCATAAATCATCATAATACTGACAAAGAATTTAACTGACACATGAAACTAATACTCGGGCTCTCCAAAGCCCTGTACAGGTAAAGCTCTGCAACTTGAGGCACCTTTTCAAGGCTCTCTTCAGAGCTTAACTTGCTGAATACCCACTGAAGCCGGCAGCCTTCCAGCAGGGGCTATTAATCACCACAGTGAGGGTCAGGTAAAGCTGGTTACCTCTACCTTCTCCACATTCTAGATGCGCACGCCCAAGAACCTCATTGACTTCGTTAGCCTTCTCCTGACACCAAGCAAAACACAATGAACAAAGTACAGAGCAAAAACCAGGCAGTACTTACTGAAGACGGCAAACCTGGAGGAACTTTTCGGACTTTCTTTGTCTGCACCTCTGAAAGAAAAACGAAGAAGCTGTGAGCTACCACGTGCCCAGTTCTCCAATCGAAAAGACATCAAACCAGAACGTTACTGAGCTTAGAGTGGACTTTCTTTAATAGACATCCCAACTCGCCCCAGCAACTATCTCCCCTTCCATGCTACCACGGATAAAATGCCGCTTTGCCGGTGGAAACGAAGAGACGGGATCTACCTTGCGACTACTCTGTGTTTTAAAACAGGTTTCTTGTGTGTGCAGTCAAGTGACAGGCCAAAATCATTAAACATTTTTAAAAGTTATGGTGCTGTGTAAATGGTTACCACATCCCCTGGGGGAATAGGAGAGGCGCCAAGCTGAAGACTGGCTCGAATGTTTTGGGATGGGGGGCGGGGGGGTGTCCTTTGGGGCAAAGTAGGGTTAGTTAGTGTAGCGCTTTTTTTTTTAAAGTGAACTTAATAAAGACTCCAGGCATTCAAACAGAAGAGGGCCTTACCCATGGCGCTACTGTGCAGAGGCCTCCGCCGGGCGTTATTGCTAGAATACTGATAGTACTGGGAGCCAGGTTTGGTGGGCGAAAGGGTTCCTGGATTGCCCATATCCATGTCCCCTCCGAGGAGACTCTGCTAGAATGAGAAAAAAAACACAAATATAGACGTTTAATTTTTCACATTTACCACGGTGCACCTGATTGTAAGCAGAGCAATATAGAGACCAGCATTTGCTGAGCTCAGCCAATTAACAAAACAACTGCGAAAAGGCAAAAGCAATGGAGGAAACTATCATCAAGTTGGGTATTTTTCAACCCTTTGAAGAAGGTGGATGGTACCCCCCTTAAACTAAACATACTTTTAAAAATCATTTTAGATGATAAAAACTTTAATTTCATAAGAAAACGTCATTTCTTTAAGATGGATGTTTTCTTTCCCCATACTTAGGCTCCGGTCTGAGAACTATTCAGACTCATGTTTCAAAAGGACTAACCTGAATCTCATTTTTTGAACACATAGGATTTTCCCCAGCTGCACACACTGGGAGTGAGTGTGGACAGTCCACTCCCTATGGGACGCATCCTGATCATCTGGGACTTTAGCAGGCTCTCACAGAGCACACAATGCCAGATGAGTGGAGAAGAAATTCAAATCCCAGGGCAAACTTTCAATACTATAGCAAAACTAGGCATTCTCTGGAAACGGGAACAAATCCGAAGAGCTCTCTTGAAGACTACCAGAAACTGAAACAAATCCCTTACCCCGGAGTCAACATTTACCTGAACACCAGAACATTCCCACAACATCATCAAGCTGTCACAGTGTGACAAATTGCTAAACTTTCCAAAAATGATGACATAAGACAGATTACATAATATTACATTACCTAAAAGCTACATAGGAACTTACCCACGATACATAAACCGCCTGATTATACTCTGCATTGGACACATTGTTCTTTAAATTATTCTGATAGGCAATAAAACAAGTGTGGATAGTACCATTTATATTAAGAACAAATTTGCTATTTAATAAAGAAATTTTAAAATTAAGTACTAAAAATCTAACTTTATCGTTACTTGTAATCAACTTTTACTGACTGAACTAATTACTGTCCTTGATAAAGTACAGAATGTGTTTTCCCTAATCTAAATTCTAATCACCATGTCACTCACAACAGACTTAGGGATGCTTCACTAACACACTATTCACATGCAAAATACTCTAAATAGGCCAATTATGACTCTGCCCCTGTTCCCTGGTTAACCCGCTGAGAACTGAAAAATTTCACAAGGCAGTCACCACCTAAAACAAAGGGTCCTTGTTTTAAATTAAGACAGTCTTTTTGATTCCTAAATAGCTCAACAAAGTGGCATGTCTTCCAGTGAAAGCAGTTGGTCAAATATGACCCATAAGCTGGGAAATAAAAGTTCAAAGCTCTCCTAGCCTCCACTATATAGCTAAATATCATACAGAGAGCTGACCACGGCAGGGGGATTTCTGTGAGTGACTATTGGTGAACTCTATGTAACAGGAGAGTCAGCCATTGGCATGCCTGTCTTCACTGCTTCAGGCTTAGATGTGTTCCGGGATACACAATAAACATCACTTAAAAAAAAAAAAAGAAAGAAAAAGAAGAAGAGATTCTACTCCTGAGCAACCAGTTATCAGTTCACTGCTAGCATTTTGGTTCCAGCTACAAAGTATGAAAATTGGGTCATTTGCCAGATAAAAACCAAGATCAGAACACTCAACCATTGCCTCTCTAGAACTTCTGGAAGATGCAAACGTATTAACAGTGGTGAGCTAAAGCACCACACACATCATGACCACCATTTCTAGGAATTGGGGATGGGAGAGGCTAGAGGTACGACATCAAACATTTTAAAAATAATTTTAGGTATTCAAGTATTGCGAATCTTAACCTGAAATTCCACTCGAGAAATCCTTATTGACAAAAATCTACATTTATTTGAACATTAATCCGATTTTTTTTAAAAAATCTCCACTGATAAAGGTGTGAATGGTGTGAAGTCACGGCCTCTCCATAAATTGGTAAATCTACAGCTGAGCCTCCATGTTATTAGGAAAGGAGTTTGAAAACAATAATATATTACTGTTATTGTGCATTTTACAGTATGCTGAGCCTCCTGCATCCTAGGCAAATGATCTACTGTTAAGTTACCTCATTCGTGGGCTATGAAATAAGCCAAGCTTTTGTATCTGCCAATAGTGCTGACACTGTATTGGCAATCACTGCTCTGATTTCTCCCTTTCCCTCTCTCTCTCTCTCTCTCTCTCTCTCTCTCTCTCTCTCTCTCTCTCTCTCCCTCCCCCCCCCCCCAAAGATATATAAAGTCCTCAAGAAAGGATTGAATAAATATTCTGAAATATTCACTTTTCTTTTTCCCTGTGTCTAACCATGGGTTGATCCTATTGGTCCTAGTAGCAAAGGTTTTAGTCGCAGAAAAGGACATTTACGTAGTAGGCAAACATATAAACAAATGAATGAGCTGACCTGGGTTTTAGTAGCATTCACAATAGAGCCGTGAAAGAAAGATAATGATAGCCCAGCTAACTGGCTGTGGCTGACCTCCTTGTTGTTGATTTCAAAGAAAATCTTCCTGTGCGCCAGTCACAAGCAAATCAGCGTCCAATTTGCAGCCATATGAGCTATGTGGATCCCAGGACCAAAAGCCACAGAACACTTCCAACTAGAGACTCCTGGCAGTCTCCCCATCCCCCCCCCCCACTCCCAATAGCACATTCCTGCTTCTTTCTTTTAGATCTGTTTGTTCCCCTTTCTTTTCCACTTGGACAATGGAACATTCTTCTAAAGAAACAAAAACAAACATTTCCTCAAACTTAAAGGAGCCTTAATCACCCCCACAGGGAAAATGAAGATAAAAATATATGTCCTCTTATTGTAGAGTCTACTTGTAAAATGAACAATGAGTATTTACTATTGTTTGGTCTTTATGTCACACGCCTAACCTTCTGTGGCGATGAGAGAGATTAGAAATAATTTCCACTGCTGAAACACTTGGGTACATGAATGTTTAAAAGTCAATGACATTTGATCAAGGCAAATTAAATAAAAAGTACACATAAAAGATAAGGCATTCAGCTGTTTGTAAAATTGCTTCCAAGTATGTATAGGCTTGAAAAACAAATTTATGTTTCATGGAAGTTTAAAAGCTGTTTGCTCTCAAAATGGGCAAACACATCCTTGCCTTAGATAGGAATAGAAAAGTTTTAGGGTCTTGTTTTGGGATTGGTTGGTTGGTTGGTTGGTTAGTTGGTTTGCTTTGTCTGATTTTGGCTTTTGCTTTTTGTGCTTTAACATTGTGCCACTTTGTAGTCTGTGGTTATTCTGGGTCCACAGTACTTAGCTTCTCTCCAGTCAGCCAGGAAACACTGGAAGCAAGCTAAGGTGCTTCACACAGCAAAACTATACATCTTACAGCCATACTTGTAAACCTGCTTAACTGTTCACATGTGAGGAAACAAGTCATTCACCTTCTTCTGATCCAGAGAGAAACAATTTCAAGCCTTAAAATACATACCAAAGAATAAAATGTACTGACTTTGTTCAGTAAGCATAAAGGTTTGGAGAGGTACTCACTGTACCCCACGCACTGGCAAAGAGCCAAGCATGGCATGGCCATTCATACACTGAAGTCAAGATTCTGGGAGGGTCGGGTCAATCAAACTGTTGTTCCTTTCATAGCATGTGTGAACTTGCAGACTATCCTACCATCACCTTAGCCTTGCCCTTATTCCATTTGGGAGCTGACTGCCTTCATTCCTTGATCAACTACCAAACAGTGCTGATGTAACGAAGGACGTAACCACAAATCAAACTTGGGAGACAGAAAAGAGGCTTATATCTCAAATTAGATTTATAACTGAATGGTAATCAAAAATAGAAGGAACTGCTCAAAGCTTAAATTATCAACTTTTTTTCCCCCTTGTTAAACTAAAATCATCTTGCTCTGAACTATTAATCCATTTCAGTCAGCACTTTAAGTGTAATGGGTGGGTGGTTCATTTCTAAAAAGGAAGATTACATTTACCCTTAATTATAGATATGAGTGAGGTCAGAGAGCTTCGCACACTGGTTTGGGGCATATGATTAATTTATCTAATAGGCGAATGGCCTTGAATTTCAGAGGTGGGACCTGGGAAAGCCAACAGAGGAGTTGGGGGGTGGTTTAAGAAATCTCTGAGGGGGAAAATGTGCCCCTCGTTTTCGAGGCTTTCTCTGCTTTTGCGTCATTAGCGTTACGTTGTGATCTGATATCAGACACAACATCTTGGGGGAGGCTACTGTAGAACAGAGAAAAGCCGTCTCAGATGAAACCAGATTAAGCTTCTTTTCTGAACTTTTGCCAAATGCGCGCGAGTCTAATTCGTGTTTGGGTATTCTTCCACTCACACAGCTGCGGGCCTATTCTTCCACCACAGACCCAAGTGATGTATGGTGGCTTTGTATGGCGAGCTGACTCCGTACAGGCCTGGGTTTGTTATCTTAATATGGAAATCAAATTCAGCACGGCTATCAAACGTATGAATGTTGGATATCCGGATAGGTACCTAATAGACTTTGTAAGCATTGGGTACAAAATTGACGTGGAGAGAAATTACAAAGTAGATGCGTTTTAAAAACGTTGACCGCAGCTGAGGTCTTATCTACCCAGCTAATTCTGCCCAGAATTAGGTTTTCAAAGACACTGCTGAACAAGATTCCTAACAGCCATGGGGAAGTTTTTGCAAATCCCTATCGAATAGCTGCTGCTGAATTTGCCATTTTGACCACAGAAGGGCCATTGCTGACTTACTTAGTAGCAGGAGGGGGCTGTAATTTTGCTGCTGTTCGCACTTACTCGGCAACCTAGAATATATCTTGCACCGAAGGGCAATGAAGAACACAGTAATTCCACCTGTCCACTTTTGAACTTCAAAGCTCACAACTGAAGGTCAGACCTTGGACAGCCTTTATCCCTGATCCCTGAAGGTACAGAAAGGCACTGTTGAAGCAGCTTACTTTGATTTCTGTCTTGGGCTTGGTTTCAGCGAAACAGAACTTGAAAAAAAAAAAAGGAAAGATGGGATGGCAGAGATAACCCTGGTCT